AATGAATAATTTTTTTTTCTATTTGCCCATATTTTCAAAATTACAATTGTACAAAGTAAAGAGAAAAAAATCAACCTATAAACATCTTTAAAATGATGTTTGGTGGTCCTCCCAACTCAGGGAAAAATAATTGGGTCCGTATTTATAGGTGAGAAAAAAATCCTTAAAATTTAAACAGAATTGTTGACGGAAGAAAAAGAAAAAAATATCGTGTAATGGAATGTTAAAAAAATGAGTCGGGCCATTTCTAGGCAGTAGATCGGGAGAGAGGGCAACCAAATATTTCTATAACAAGTGGTATTATAAGGCTAGTGCATGTTCCATCACATACTTAGTCATGCAATTTTTTTTAATCTTTGACACTATTTTGAAAAACAAACATAGGATTTTCGGGGGAGAGAGGGAAGGGGGGGGGGAGTTAGCACTCACTTTTTTGCGATGATAGACATAGCATATATGCAATGGGTCTTTCTTTGCAAATATTGTGCTCGCTTCTAACTTTCATAGAAACAACTCATTATATTTTATCAAGCTTCGTATGTTCAATGAGCGAAGGCTTACAACGTTGTCAACATAATGAGACATGATGCGTTTTTGTGTCCAAACATTACTCCATACAATGTGTGGGTCATTGCAAACATTCTACCTATTTATGTGAGGTGCCTGAAGGATATTCTATAACTGCCTATTTTTTCTATTTAACTTCTAAACAAAATAGACATATGTACCAACTTTTCGAATGTAAGACATGTAATTATAATTTATTTTTCATGCACTGCATATTGTTTAACATTTTCAAATTAAATGCTAAGCATCCTCCTTGCAGTGCCCCATTTGAAAATAACTTATATCGCCACAGAAAAAAGACCCACCGAAAACACATATGTTTAGGACATTTTTATCTTTTTTTCTTGAGTTTTAAAGAAACCAACAAATTATCAAGACTTGTTCCATAAAAATTAAATATAATCATGGTAATCAACGGATTTATCAACAGCAGATATATGCACATGCCAACCATGTGCTTAGTGGAATAATATTTACGAGGAATTTCGAGTTTAAAACAGAACAGTTTTTCCCGATTTGCTGGAGTGAGGTTAAAATCGCGTTTTTTCATTAATCAGACGATGCGATGCAACAAATAAAAGTAGTAAGTAATGTAACTTAATGATTATTACTTAGTAATTTCTTGTTTTGATGTTATTATGGTCGCATTTATTCTAAAATCATTGTTATTCGAACTCTGTGTGACAGAGGAATGGCGGACCAAAATAAACACATGGCCTCAGCAAGACACCCATAAAAAAATCAAATTTTCAAGAATTATGGATAATGACAAGAAAAAAACGAAACAAATGGTTGTAGCCATATTATCAATGAATCAAACTAACTCCATTTTCAATGCATTTTTCATCTCATGAATGCTGTACCTGCGCAGTTCTAACATGATTAATTTTCTTCTAATTAAGACAAAATAAACTTAATTGTTTACTTATTTTGGTCTCTAACAGTAGGTAATTAGTGCATTAGCACTTTGAGTAACTTTGGGCTAGTTTAGTTGAGTATTAAGCGCATTCTTGGTATTTCTTAGTTTACACCAGACTAGATCCAATATGGCTTGTACATCCCCCTTAAATGTATCCCCGAATCACAACTGCATAACTCAGACATATATACCGAAGATGTTTTTAATTACATGTACTTACAGCTAAATTATAAAATGACCTGTAAATGACATCCTTGACAGAACTTTGGACTGTGAGAATGAAATTTAAAGCGAGACTTAAACGATATTTGTAATTTACTTCCTGGTTGGAGATATTGATTGATACCCAGAGTTATCGTTCGATTCGCTACAACACCTCGAGGAACGATAACCCTGGGTAGAGATTGATATTATTTATAGTTTTACATGTTGTACTAACATACCCAATGTGGGGGCTTTAGTAAAATAAAAAGTTTCAAAGTTTTACATTGCAAAGATGTTATTGACACGGGAAAGGGGGGGGGGGGTGTGCATAGACCAAAACTGAAAGGGACTTAATCATCGCAGTTAAAAATACCAGCGACATACACAAATAAATTTTAGTTTTAAAGTCACGGTACTTAATAGTAATCCTATTAAAGATGCAAATGACATCATCTGTCAATTTTTTTAGCTGCAGAACTGTACATAGCGTTATGGTTATTTAACTATAATTAGTCTTTGACCATAACGCTACAGATCCCGTAATGCAAAAATTGTGCAAAATTACGATTTACGTTGCAAGATTTTTTGCACACTGTAAAAGAATTTCTCCACTTTCCAACTTGGTAAATCATATACCTTTCACCCCCTAATTCCAGAAACATTCTTTTTGGCAATGGGAGAGGGAGGACTTTTTTTTGCAAAGAATAACCTAATCTAGACATAGAAAATTCAGGGGCTGAGGCTAAGCCCCAACTCCATTTTTAGCTCTACTGGTCAGAGACCAGAAGAGCTTATGTGATAGAAGTGTTATATAACTTGGCACACAAGAATGAAGTAGTATACACTGAGATACATTATTTAGTGCACTAGTTTTTGATTTCAATGAACGGTGTTGCCATGGTTACTAAAAATAGAATTTTCTGTGAAATTCCTCTAAAACGCTACTCCTCCTACAGTTTTAGTTTGATTTCAATTTAACTTGGCACAAAAGTAGACTACACTTGACAAAGATACTTAAGTTTTTGCATCGGTTTTTGATTTCGATGAACGGTGTTGCTATGATTACTAAAAAATAGATTTGAAGTTATTATTTTCTCTATAATATTACGACTTATATATTTTAATAGCATTTCACACAAAAATTAATTAAAAATCTTATTTCATATAAAAGATATTAAAAGAATGGAGGCGTACAAGGCGAGGATAATCCCCCGCTCTGAAAAAAAGACATTTCTCAATTATAAAAGTAGTATTTTTTCAAAATTTTATGGTTTATATCATCTTTTACATATTAAATTCTGTATTTCATTGTTTTAATAATTTATTTTTCACTCATGTTTTTAAGACATTTGAAAACAAAAAAAAAAAAGAAAAAAGAAAAAAAGCTTCATGTATGATTCGAACTCTCTGCATAGTGTAGGTTTGATCCAAGCCCAACCGTTTTATCCACTACGCTACGAAGTATATGCATAATTGACGTCTTTCAGTGTAATTTAGATGAACAGGTTTGTTGAAGCGTGATTTTTCTCAGAAAAGCTCGATTTTCGTATAGAATGGGTTCAGATTCCATTTTTTGGACAAATAAAATAGATTTCAAATTTGCGTTTCCATCATTTAAGCGATCACGAAGAATGGAGACTTGACCCATTCATGTTCAAAATTCGTTTTTTATAGCTCTATTAAACCCATTTTTCACTAAATATGCTTAACTGTCAAATTTGAAATAAAGATTATCAAATGATAAGTCGTTCAGTAAAATAAAATAATAAAATTTTTTGAAGATGACATTACTGAGGACATAATTTTAGAAAAATATAACTTTTTTGTGAATTTTGAAAATTGAGAAACATTTTGTCTTAGAGCGGGGGATTGTACACGCCTTATACGCCCTCTTTCTTTCTATTTTTTCGGCGGGTTTGATTGATACATTGCACTAAAAAAAAAATAGTATTAATGAGCCTTACAAACAAAGACTAAGTGTCTGTTTATTTGTTATAAATGTTAGATGGAAACAGTTTTTCTATACTGTAAAATCACATATTATCATGGGGTCAAATTTTCGTGGTTTGAATAACAAGAGGCCCATGGGCCACATCGCTCACCTGAGCACTGTGGATAGGAAAAAGCAGAAATTGAATAATCATTGAAAAGTTTAAATCCAAAAGTAATCCCATGACCAATCATGGCTTTGTTATTCTTGAGAAGATGATTTTAATTTTCCAGGAGGTACTATAGCCGCCAGGAAAGAGGTGATACGTAACAAAATCCGAGCTATTGGAAAAATGGATCATGTGTTCACGGTGCATTTAAAGAATTTTCTTATTTATCTCTATGTAAAACTTTGGTTGGCCATTGTGGCCCGCCCTACCCCCGGGGATCATGATTTGAACAAACTTGAATCTACACTACCTGAGGATGCTTCCATATTCATATGATGAAATATGGCTTTGTCATTCTTGAGAAGATTTTTAAAGAATTTTCCTATATATTTCTATGTTAAAACTTTGGTTGGCCATTGTGGCCCCGCCCTACCCCTGGGGGGGGGGGGGGGGCTTGATTTGAACAAATTTGAATATACACTACCTGAGGATGTTTCCCCATAAGTTTCATCTTTCCTGGCACAGTGGTTCTTGAGAAGAAGATTTTTAAAACATGCCACCAAATTTTCATTAATTCCCAATTATCTCCTTTTGAATGAGGGTGTGGCCCTTCATTTGAACAAACTTGAATCCCCTTCACCCAAGTATGCTTTGTGGCAAGTTTGGTTGAAATTGGCCCAGCAGTTCTGGAGAAGAAGTCGAAAATGTGAAAAGTTTACAGACAGACATACAGACAGCTGGACAGCCAGACGGACGCCGGAAAAATGTGATCAGAAAAGCTCTCTTGGGCATTCGGCTCAGGTGAGCTAAAAACTCTTGGTTCATGAGCATTTGATTTCATGGATGAAGAATTGCTAAGTAGTTATGTATGTAACATTTTACATTTCGTGGTGGGTCTATCCATACCTCAAAAACAACAGAAATTAAGCCCCCAAGAAAATTTGTGATTTCACAGTATTCTTTTTTTCACTTCCTGTCTACTGAATACTTAATACACACTTCATATTTTACCCCTTTTCACAGTTTGAGTACATGTACTAGTAATTCCTTTCTTCTTAACCTACTATAGAAGTGTGTAAAGATCTTTCCCTTTACATTTCAGCCATCGTCTGGGTTACAACCCATTAGTTAACCATTCATTCAAATGAAAAATCAACATTTTAAGTCTGTATATTCCATGATAAAATGAAATTTTTATTCATTATTAATGAAGAAATGAATGTTGAATGAAACACATGCTTCAAATTCCTTAATGTGATTGACAGAGAAAAAGAATGTGGGGCATTAAGTGAGTGGACAAGGTTCACTGAGCAGTTATGTTAGTATCCACGGTTCACTGAGCATTTACGTTAGTATCCACAGTTCACTGAACAGTGAAGTCAGTATCCACGGTTCACTGGGCAGCACTCTTTGAGATCTGCTCCTTGAGAATTAAGATACTCTGGCGCTGTTCTGGGGGTAACATAGCGATCTGCTGATCTGTCAACTGTAACACCTGCATGATCAGGGCAGCCTGGGAATAAAATATGAGAATTAATTAATATATGTAACAAATATCTTGTTAAAATGTAAATACTTTGGACTTAATACAAAACATTATACATGCATTTTAATGGGTATTGTATCAAAACAATGGCATTCACATGCAATATCTGAATGCACAGTAAATTATTTTCAAGGGGTCAAAATTTTGTGGTAATCAGAAAAGTTTTTGATTCATAGATGTTTTATTTCATGGTTAAAAGAAATACATAATACGGCAATTTGAAATTTTAATATTTTCTGGAGAGATGACTCTTCACTCAATGAAAACAACAATAATTACCACATTTCCCCATGAAAATACATGTAAGTGATTTCACAGTAATTGTAAAGTAAATACATGATTATTATGTATAATGTGGCTCAATCAACTTGCTTTGCAATACAAAAAGTATAAAGAACACTAGAAGCCTTGAAAATTTAAAGATTGCTTCATTTTCATTGTATGCCATGTAAGAAAACTTAGAAATTTAGATAGCCAAAGCCATCAGTATATTTCTGCTTACCTTTTCCTGATCTTGTGGGGAGATCTGCGCCCCTCCTGACAAGTTAGGGAGTCCTCCTGTCAAACCACCGGGGCCCTGTAAAACCCAGTCAAGTACATGTATTAACACTAGTATCATAACATCAGAAAAAGTAATGCTACACCAGGTACATATAAATATGTAGTAGTACTAAATAATAAGATACATGTAGAGAAAATAAACATTTTGAAAAATCTGCTCCCTTTCATCAATGATCTAATTGTGTCATGCTATAAACTTAAAAAATATTACTAAGCATGTGGAAATTAAATATGAAGCATATCAAGAGTTAATTTTGTAACATATAACCATGAAACTAGGTAATTGCTTTCGAAGTAAATTTTAATAAAACATCAACTTCCAAGTAAACTCTTTTTTCTGAGGTGTACGGTATCCGTAAAATACAGAACCCCCTCTAACATGTCTTGCTTGAAATTTACAATTCCAAAAAGAAAATACATAATTTTCCCTCTTTTTCTTTGATCAGTGAATCTATTATGTAACAATTAAAAAAAATGATTGAATCTTTTAGTGCTTTGTATAAATATAATGAAATATTGTTTTAAAAATAGTTTAAAATACACAAATGTATATGTATCAATGAACCATATAGACAAGCTCAGTATCACAACACACTGATATTTAATAAAATAATGCATTCTAACATTCTACATCACAACACAGGTTTATAATCTCACAGCCGCTTACCAAGAGCCCTGTAGGTAGCCTGGGCATAGGTGCAGATTGTGTGGTGGTGGGCATAGGCATTCCTGGGCGGGGGCCCATAGCTCGGGGGTCTCCCATCATGCGTGGCTCGCCCATCATTCTGGGGTCTCTGATCTCCGGCCTCACTCCCGGTCCCATGGGCTGCTGTCCCGGTCCCATGGGTTGTTGACCTGGACCCATGGGTTGCTGTCCCGGTCCCATGGGCTGTTGTCCGGGACCCATGGGTGGTTGTCCCGGGCCTTGGGGTATTGGTCCTGGCTGACCAGGTATAACCATATTTGGACCTGGCCCACCGGGCATGCCCATGTTTGGTCCTGAAAAACAAAAGTTTATTTAAGATATATAGAAAAAAAAAATATAATATTATACCAAAAAATATTTTACCTGCATTGTTATGAATTATTCAATGATAAGACCAACTGAACAATTTCTAGAAAATATTGACTTCTATTAACATTTTGAGAGACCTAACTTTTGTAGATTCCAACTCTTTGTTCAGGCCGAGTTTCATGCAAACATTTTATATCTCTGCTTCCTGTATCTCAGTATAAATGTTTAATACTACTCAGATACTGTAATTTCACTTAATTACATTAATTATTAATTAATCAATTAATCAACATATTAATGTTTCATATCAGTATGGCACTAGAAGTATATTGCTCTCTAGAGAAATTTTTTAACCTTTGAATGGGGAAATCTATAGATTTACTGAGTATTTATGACTGAACAAAGAAAAACGGACTTGTCTAGTAACAGCCCTATGTACTGACACTTACGTATCATTGGACCACGCGGCCCCATCATGTCCTGACCCGGCATGTTGGGGTTCATTGGATTCTGTCCCACCATTCTGGGTCCGGGTCCTCCTGGCATCTGGGGACCTGTACAGTGGGTCAAAGAATTGAGATTTTAACCAAAGATACAAACATGGTGTTAAAGCACAAACTTGAATTAAAAGAAAACTACATGGTGACAGATTTTAAGTTAATTTTTTCTGTATAATATCACGACATATATATTTTAATAGCATTTCACACAAAAATAAATTAAAAATCTTAATTTATTTCAAAGTTATTTAAAAGTTATTAAAACTTCAATTTTTTTGGCGGGTTCGATTGACACATCCTTGCACTTTCACAAATTTTAACTTTTTTCTTAATACTTAGGAAAAGTGGCAATCTTGTTGCGTATTTAAGAGAAATATTAAAACAGTTACTTTAATCCAGAAAAGTAATTCTATTCAGAGTAGAAATGTTAGAAAGCAAAACTCCTCCACAAGTATCGTCATTCCGAGCTAATTGTTGTGTTTTAACATAAACAGTTATTGTAAACAGGGCATAAGCTCTGTTATTGTTTATGTAAAAATTGTTTACGATTCACCAGGTGCGTTCAATCGTTAAAGTCTCCTCCACAAGTATCGTCATTCCGAGCAAATTGTTGTGTTTTAACATAAACAGTTATTGTAAACAGGGCATAAGCTCTGTTATTGTTTATGTAAAAATTGTTTACGATTCACCGGGTGCGTTCAATTGTTAAAGTCTACTCTCCACAACTGAACAGACTGACAATATACTGTGTGTACATTTTGGAAATTTCTACTTTGAATTTTCTGGATTATAGTTTAAATATTTTTCATTTATACACAACAAAATTGCCACTCTGCTAAGTACATGTATTAAGAACAAAATTAAATTTGTGAAAGTGCAAGGATGTGTCAATCAAACCCACCAAAAAAATTCAAGTTTTAATAACTTTTGAATGAAATAAGATTTTTTATTTATTTTTGTGTGAAATGCTATTAAAATATACATGTTGTAACATTATACAGAAAAAAATTAACTTAAAATCTATGTCCATGCACCTTTAAGGTTTAATTAACACCCAGGAAAAATTATAATTTGATTTACCAATGTCTTATGTGTTATTCTACCTAGGATTGTCTCTAAGATCCAGTGGATGGGGTATTCCCCTGCCTATAATGATGTCATTCCTTGGTTATGTAACTACATGTACATGTATATTGGTATTCACCCTCAACCCCACATTAGCAGAGGATCCAGAACCCTCCATTTTTTTCATGCCCCCTGCTATGTCAATTATTAGGCACAACCCTGGTTAATTAATGCATGAAATTTTTTATATATTATTTTTTGGAGAATTTAGACTTAAAAAGATCAGAATTTGTCAATTTTTTCTCTGTGAAGTAACCCCCTCCCCTCCCTATGTGCAGCATTTTACCTGGAATTGGCCCTGGGGCTGAGACTGGCTGTACCTATATTAGAAAAATATCATTATTTAAACAGTTTTCAATATCATTTCAATTTTTTAGTCTGTATACCTGTGACAATTTTTAATTTCTTAATATATAGTACAATGACATATACAAGTTTCAGCAATTTTTAGTTTTTAGAAATGCATTTATTCTGCAAGACCAGCACAGACACTTTTAACAAGGTGTTTTCTTTCTTCAAAACAATTTTTAATTTCATTTACATTATTTATATATGTGATTAAATGTTACAATGAATTATGTATGATCATTTTGGAATACCTTGAGATTTTATATTTCAAATGGATAGTCTACTGACATACCTGAGGAATACTGAGGGGTATTGAGATGTTATATTTGATAATATCCTGACATACCTGAGGGATACTGAGGGGTATTGAGATGTTATATTTGATAATATCCTGACATACCTGAGGAATACTGAGGGGTATTGAGATGGGGACACTACTGGGCACACTGGCAGGGGGGATCTGTTTGGTGTCTCTGTGCAACATTGCCTACAGTTCAAAAGCATCAACAGTTAATAATGTGACAATTTAGCAAGGGTATTTTGAATTTTGCTTCATAAAAATAGTTTGGTCTATAAAAACCTTAAGGGCAAGCATAGGGAATATTCCTGGAAATAAGGAAAATAATATATGATTGATTAAAAAAAAAAATTTATAATATTGGGGCTATTTTGAGGTACTTTTCACATCACAAATTTTGAAGAAAATATATTCACTGCATGTATTTTATCCATACAAGCAAGTAAATTAAGTTTTGACATTGCAGAATACATGAATTAGAATTATATACTCGATTATTTTTATTGCAATAGAGATTTTACCATGGCCACTTGTGGGTCAACTATTTTCATGACGATCTGAGCCTGCAGCAGTGCGTAGGCTAACTGTGGATTCTGTAACAGCATGTTTCTGGCCTCGGTCGGGTTGTTCTGGATACATAACTGAAAGAGAGAAAATTATATGATCCTTACTGAGCCACGCAAATGGTCACAAAAAGTTGTCTTGGAAAGTACAACTTGCTCTAAAGTACTGTAAATCACAATTTATTTACTAGAACTTAATTTTTGTTTGCGTGATTACGTGAGACAGTGTACTTGCAAAAATGTCACACTCCGTATAGAGCATTCCGTAAGATTATGTAAAGCAATAACCAGAAAGTTCATGAAAGTTTTGTCTTGCTCATAAATGGACAAAGAATGCTGTAAATGTTTTATATTTAGCATGTATAGTATTTGGCGGAAATTGATTTTTGAACAAGTTAGCGTAGATTTGATTTAGCTCATTTCTCAGTGTTCCCGTTTATGTGTATATGTACAAGACATTTAGCATTGTACCTGAATTAGTGGAGGTTTCACTCCGCCAAAAGCGCTAATTTAAAAAAAGAATACACAGCCAAATGTACATGTAATATGTTTAATTTAAAAGTATCTCACGAAAAAATAAAGTGTCACAATCACAAAAATTAAGTGATTTAAATATTGTATGCATAAAATATCTGAATGAACAATACACAAATGGAGATACCTTCATCTGCTTCATGAGTTCAAACATCTGTTCTGGGGGGAGACTGGCCACAGCTTTGGAGATGGCTTCTGGGGCCTTCTCTGGCTCCACAGGGTCTCCATAGGGACTCTGTCAAAATACAGGAAATGGATTAAAAAATTCAAAAATATTTCAAAAATTCATTCGTATCCCAAACAATGCAATCTGACAGCACATGTACATTTAATTTCACTTTCAGCAAACATATCTTATTGAACACCAGGTAACTATCAATGAATCAATCATTTTAATGTTTTACAGTTTTGTGTTTGCTCTGCTCCCAGTCTTTATTGTTTCAATGAACCTTGGGCTATGAGCTTGATTAATACCATTTGTTGTCGCCCCATTTCATTAATATAACATTTTCCTATACCTCCATGACGGGGCCCCCTAGAGCCTGCTGTAGTCCCTTCATTTCATCCCTGTTCTGTTCCCCCGCCGCCACCCCTACCCTCAGGGGCCGACCATTGAAGTCGTAGTTATTCAAGTTCCGCATGGCGCTCTGAGCGGTTTCCACGTCTTGGTACTCACAGAAACCATAGCCTTTTGGTTTCCCTGTCTCTCTGTCATAGACTAACCTGTAATATTATATTTAAATTCGTATGAAAACACTAAACAATGGTTTAGTCCACAACTAATATCAAACACTATATTACAAAAAGACTTATTAATAAGACTTTGAAAAGTAGGAAACACCAACATCTCAATTGTTGTCCCATTTACGGCCATTAATTCGCAATGAATAACAAAACCAACTGCATCAGATATTTATCTTTTTATCAAAAGTTGCAGGTTGCTTTAGTTTGCTTCTTGCTAAGTTTTTTTTGATTCTGCTTATAAATCAAATCATTTGACCATGTTGACTAAATGAATATACATGATCAGAAAGTAAAATTAGCGATCATATTTGATTTTAATAAAAAGAATTTTAAGGCCAAAAGTTGATACCCTATAAAATGAGTTCCATATCTTTATATCTTATTTTTAACAACTCAAATAACTAAAACAACTGATCTAAAGGCATGTGGTATGCCCTAAGAGTAACTTCATGCAATAACACATCTTGTTTGGATCTTACCTGAAACTGACAACTGGGCCAGCAGCAGAGAATATCTCCCTCAACTGTTCCTCTGTTGTCTCATAAGGAATATTACCCACTACAAAAAAATAACACATCATCATTTAATTTAATTCTCATAAGGAATATTACCCACTACAAAAATAACACATTATCATTTAATTTAATTCTCATAAGGAATATTACCCACTACAAAAATAACACATTATCATTTAATTTAATTCTCATACGGAATATTTCCTACTACAAAAATAACACATTATCATTTAATTTAATTCTCATACGGAATATTTCCTACTACAAAAATAACACATTATCATTTAATTAATTCTCATAAAGAATATATTACCCAGGCACTACAAATATAACATCATCATTTTTTAAGGTCTTCCGTTTCAGACGGAAGACCTTATAGTGATTCTACTGTTTTTTCTTATTATTATTATTTTTTTTCCCAAATCTTGTCGGCAGGATTTCTCAGAGATGGCTGGACGGATTTTCTTGAAATTTTCAGGGATGATAGAGAATAAAAATACGCTCAGACGTTTTTTTCATTTTTTCAAAATTCACTTCCGGTCGTCAGATTTGTCCGATTTCCGCTTTTTTGAAAAATATCTAATCCGAGTGAGATCTCAGAAACGGCAAGAGATTAAGGCACCAAACTTACAGGGTTGATAGATCTTAATAAGTAGGCAAATCCATTTGGGTTAAGATCGTCCGCCGTCACTTCCGGTCGTCACAGGAAGTGATCAAAGAAATCGAAAATTTCAACTTTTCTTTTATGAAACTTTTTTTGCATCAGATAACAATATCTTATTTGTAGCTTCGAAATATATCAGTCTCACCGGAAGTAAAAACGACAACTTCCGGTTATGATAGAAAAACTGCATATTTTCAGTATTTTTCCTTCCCATAAATATTTTTTATAGATAAAGTATTTGTAATGATTTTTTGATATGTTATTTAGACTGCAACTGTCTACAGTAACGTCAAATATCTTTATAAAATTCACTTCCGGTCGCGTGATTTCCTGTCCTCAAAATGAGAAGTTATCATAGCTAGATCTCGTAAACGGTAAGAGATTAAGACACCAAACTTAATAAAGTGGTAAATCGTGATGAGTAGGCTAAATCAGTTAGGAAAAGATCGTCTGCCGTCACTTCCGGTCGTTACCGGAAGTCATAAAAAAATCTAAAATTTCAACTTTTCTTTTATGAATTTTTTTTTACATCAGATTATAGAATCTTATTTGTAGTTTTAAAATATATCAGTCCCATCGGAAACAAAAACGACAACTTCCGGTTATAAGAGAAAAACTACATAATTTGATTATTTTTTCTCCCATATATTTACTTTTTGTAGATAAAGAATTTGTTAATGATTTTTGGGTATGTAACTCAGACTGCATATGTCTACAGATATTTCAAATATCTTTTTTAAATTCACTTCCGGTCGCGTGATTTTCTGTCCTCAAAATGAGACGTTATCATAGCTAGATCCTGAAAGCGGTAAAAGATTAAGACACCAAACTTATAGGAATTGTAGAGCTTGATAAGAAAGCAAATCCATTTGGGTTAACATCGTCCGTGCGGCTGTCACTTCCGGTTGTCACAAGAAGTGATCAAATATATCAAAAAATCATTATTTCTTCATGGAATCTTTCTTAGTAATACATTATAGCATGTTATTTGTAATTTTGAAATATAACAGTCCCACTGGAAACAAAATCGACAACTTCCGGTCATGAGAGAGAACTGCATAAATTGAGTATATTACTAAATCATAAATATCTTTTATAAAAAGAGTATTTGAAATGGTCTTAGGACATGTCTTTCAGACTGAAATGTCTAGAGTAACCTCAAATATCTTTTGAAAAAATTACTTCCGGTCACGTGATTTCTTGCCCTCAAAATGAGATGTTAATATGATGAGACCTCTTAAATTAAACTGTTCTAGATCAAGACACAAAACTTATATGAATAATAAATCATTAAGATTGGGCAACAGATATAGCGTAAAATCCGTCTGCCCTCACTTCCAGTCATCACAGGAAGTGATATAAAAATTGAAAATGATTTTTTGTAAATGTTATTAAGACTATAATTTTCTAAAGTAACATCGGGAATCTTCCTTTTTTTAAACATAGATAAAAATTCACACATACAGATAAATAGAGGAGAATGGAAGACCTTCTTTGTTGCTGTAGCAACAAGAGTTTCTAGTTTAAATATATCTTTATTTGGACATTTTGAAAGTGTCTTCTTTTGTACTATTTTTTTAATCTGTACAGGTAATGCTCTTAGTCAATCCATTATTAACTCATATGGTAAGAGGAGCTGGCTGTCTCTGCCACCATTATATTGCATAATTCCACTTTCAAATGCTATTTTGGTTAAAAAATGATCAGATTCTGTCCTAAACAAATTCACTTAACACCAGTTATTCAAAGGGTATATACATACATGCTGGATGTACAAGCCAATGTGCAGGAATGCATGCATGATCTTCCTCTCAAAGTACCAAGGGTGCCCAAGATACCCAATTTCATGATGTTTAACACTTTTTTTTTTAAATCAATATTTCAAATTTTACTTATTTCATTCAAAGATAAAAAACTCATCGAAATACAAAACAAGTACAGTGGATATCAATAAATTTTATATAAAATGATAAACCAGGGATCTATATACTAATGGGATATGCAACTAGTACTACCACAAGTATCGTGATATCTAGTAAGTCACGGGATTTCGTAAGTAAACTTTAATTAATTACATCTCTAAAGTTATCGCATGTTTGAGATCAAATCCTTTAATTATCTATCAAAAATCTTTCAAGGTATTGTTTTAGCACATATTATACTTCTTATCCTCGTAGTAATTTTGTTTTATGCAAAATCAGCACATGCCCTGATCAGCCATATTTCCGAGAAATCGCTGATTTTGGTGTTGGTTTTCTTTATTATCTTTTAAATAAATAATTTTAAAATTAATATTATGCTTAAAAATTTATTAATAAATCAATACCAATACATAGAAGGAATAAATGGTAATAATCAGAAAACAACCTGTTCACTGGGAATAAATGTAAACTCATCTTCGCTAGCCAAGGGTTTCTGATATGCTTCTCTCCTCATAAACCCTTGGCCTACGGTGAAGCCAAAAAACAGGATTGTTTTCCGTCACTTGATCTCGCATCTATCAGGTACGCATAGATTGCATCATCGCCAGAAAAAAAGACACGTGTTAAAAAAAATTAAATCAAAGTTTTTTCAAGAATAAATAAGAAGCAATAATTGAGTTATGTTTATTCATTATTTATACAACTAATCTTAAGCTTCAACATGTTCAATATAGATTCTTAATCACATATTTAGAAAATGTTGGATGACACCATGGCTATTCTTAGAATTAAATGTTATCTTACGGATCGTTGTTTACTTGCGTTTTTCATTTCTCGGATTAAACAGGTCCAGTCCAAAGACTATTTCTACCTACGTAGCTATTAATACCTACCTAGGTATTTAAAGCTACCCAAAGTAGCTATTTTTACCTACTTTCTGCTTTACTTGCATTTTGTGGCCAAATGCAGGAACGGCGCAACATGGTGAGCACAAAATTTCTTGATACAGTCACACTGATGATGGATATGACAAAAATTTGGCTGAAAAAAGATTACTTTATATATTATCAATTTTGCATAGAAACTAATGTAAAATTCCCGATTCAGGAAGTAATCATTTTTTGGCCAAAATTTTGTCGTATTCATCTTTAGTGTGACTGTATCAAGAGATATGGTATTCACCATGTTGCGCCGTTTGCTCTTTGTGCCGCAAAATGCAGAAATTATAAAAAGTAGGTAAAAATAGCTACTTTGGGTAGCTTTAAATACCTAGGTAGCTATTAATAGCTACGTAGGTAGAAATAGTCTTTGGACTGGACCTGTTAAAGAGTCAAGAAGTATCCCGAACGCATATATCGTCATTTACAAAAACAATTGCTGATTGGTCGACCTGGGTGTACTGAAATCCAATTAGAAATCTGGAAAAAAAATCCCGATTTCTATGAACACCGTAGGCCAAGGGTTTATGAGGAGAGTAGCGTATCAGAAACCCTTGGCTAGCGAAGATGATGTAAACTGAAAAACTTGTAGTGTTGTGCGTGATGTTGTGGGTAGATAAACATGACAATGAAGGAGTTGACCATCCCGTTTAATAGTATATAGGACCCTGGATAATTTAAAGACTTCAACCCTAGCTTGTCATGGTGTTAAAATGCTTGATTTTTGCCCATTATAGAGGACTAATTATTCAGACTAATCACTTAATCTTTATATTAAATGCTTCTAGTTCTTTCAGAACCATATGCTTTGCAGCAGAATATAAAATATATTAGAAAATATATAAGAAAAACAAAATCAGATAAAAATGAATATCCACACCACGGTCCTCTGTATCATAGTACCGCGTGGGAAGGTTTCCTTTTTTGGTTTAACATGTTGAACAAATTCGGATTGCTCATAACTTTTCTATAATAACGTCCGATCTTTGTAAAAAACAATATTTGTTTTTCATCACTTACCAAATACTGATCTTTGGGCTCTTTCTGCTGAAGTAATAGGTGCATTGGGATCATTTTGCATGTGCATCATTTTGAATGCTTAAAATTTTCCTTTCGATACACAACAATGATAACTCCCGAGGACTTCCAAATTCTCACTCAATCTGGTACATCAAAGTGCTTGAATCAATGAGGAAGAACACTATTAAGTTCAAGAACGTAAATAAGGTCAAGGCAGCAACAACAAGACACAGTCGATACTTGCAATAAATTTACAAGAAAAACAAGCCATAAACCGTCTATTAAAAATCTCAAGATGGCTGGAATGTCATGGAGAGCATATCTGACAAGGTACATTTTTGGAAAACTCTTGAACGTCATTAATGATTAATAAATTTGTATGTGTATTTTGCATGCATCAGTGCATGTGCATGATACGGACAACATACTGTGCCTCGCAAATGGAATATTTGATTTCATTGATAGATTTTGCATAAAATGTAAAGCACCGGACCAGTGGCATGGGTTGCTAATCAGACTACAGTGGGGTGTTGCTAAAACGCGGAACGGAAAACGGAACGGAAAACGGAACGGAACGGAAAACGGAAAATATTTGTCAAGCAAATAACAAAGATTCGATATAAATTAGAAAAGAAATATATATTGACGCAAGCGTCAAAAATCGGCCGCAAACCAATTAATTGTTCCATTGATAAAGTAATTAAAAACTGAAATCTGCGTGACCTGTTTTTAAAATTTCTTATATTTATCTGTTAAAATATCCTCGTGACATGAAACACTTGCATGTGACATTGCCGATTTTCTTCATGCATAATGCATGTACAATATTATATGTATAAACAAACTGTCCATATAGACCTCTGCGTCTCTAGCTGCACTCAGTAGTTTTTACATAACAGTACAGAACTAAAGTTTAAACTAAGCTAAAGTTTTACATTTAAAAAACGCAACAAATATGAAATATGTGAGGCTTCTCGCTCTCTCTTAAAGGATATTAACCTCCCTCCCCCAAACTCCCTCTAGATCCACCACATTTCTTCTCTTTCAGTCTCTTTGTTTTCGAGTTGAGATGTGGCGGGAAAATGCTTGGCACATTGTAAAACGCCTAGTTGTTGTAAGATTTTGTGCTTTTAAGAAATAAATATTTCATCAATTTTTTGAAAATTTTCCATAGAAAATTTATAAATTTACACGTCATTTTAAAATAAATACAACAAATCCTGTTTATGCTGTTTAAAAAGACGAAGTAAAATTGTTGATATTCAACGTGGTCTTTGTTTTAGACTATGCCTACATATAACTTCACCGCACTTCAGTCTTGTCGGAGTTTGTCAATCAGGATTGGATGAAACATTTACCCCCATTATCTATAAAATTTTAATTTTATGATTATTGTGCTTTTTGTTAAACATTTAAAAATATATCTGTTCAATATTCTATAATATGAACGTTAAATATTTTTATTTAAATTGTTCTAACTCCGCAGAAACGCACGGCGACTTCAAACTTTCATATAAAGTAAGGACCGACCGCCTCCTGGCGGCCGGTAATAAAAGAGCAAAATTCTTGTTGTAAAAGTCATTTCTAATAAAAATTTATTGTAAACTATTAATATATTTATGAGTCATCAACACATACAACATGGTACTGAAATTCAACACCCCCCCCCCCCCACACACACACACACAAACACACTCACGAAGTTCGATTTTCGTGTTTGGGCAAAGGACATATCCCCCTTTTTTGATTGTCAAATTTGTTGTATGTTAGACATTTTTTACTTTATTGTAAACTATTATATATTTATGAGTCATCAACACATACAACATGGTACTGAAATTCAACACCCCCCCCCCCCCCCCCCACACACACACACACACACGCACACAAACACACTCACGAAGTTGGATTTTCGTGTTTGGGCAAAGGACATATCCCCCTTTTTTGATTGTCAAATTTGTTTTATGTTAGAAATTTTATACTGACACCTGACCCCCACCCCCTCTTTCAATTTGTTTCCAATGTCAATGTCGGTAAAGACAAAAATAACTAGTTTTGATATTCAGATTATGCACGCAGTGTCGAATTCGCGAATGATGAAAGGGGGAGTGGCAGTTTCGGGTCTGTGTAGGGACCCACAGCCACATTAGAAATTAATTTATTAAACCTTATGTATATTTTGGACACAAAAAGGGAGGGGGCAGACCTATCACAGCTTATAAGACATTTCCGATGAGCGGGAAAACAAACTCATTTTTTACGGGGTCATTCATAAACACCCCCCCCCCCCAACATGCACACATATGTACCGCAAACAACAAAATTTAAATTTAAAGATTCTGCATTATATCTACCACATGAAAGTTTTCCAACTTTGTCTATCCAGAAAACGACTATATTTTGAATAAAATTTTAACAACCAGTGTGTATAAGAGATGTTTATTCGAGCTGGTCGTAAAGATTTGCCCTAAAAGCAATCTTAATAATTTTTTTTTTACATTTCATTTCTCTCTCCATGGTTCAAAAAGATATCAAATATTTGCCCCCCCCCAGTCATAACCTTCTTTCTAAGGAAATGTTCGTTCAAGTTCACATCTTCACACTTCTTGTGAATGTAATTAATGTAGTAAGTTAGTGTAAAAAAAAAGGTACTGAAAGATGTTGGAGTTGGAACTTGCCCCCCTACCGAATCAAACAATTGTTTTCTTTTTGTGTTTTATCCCCCTCCCGACCCGATCAAACAATTGACTGTCTTCTTTTTGTGTTCTTGCTTGTCAAATACTTTTCCAGTTCGTTTACCCTCCCCCCATTTTCAAATTCGATTCTAGGTGACTGCTATGTTAGCGATTTTTCGTAAATAAGAGACTGAGCATGACAAAATCAACTTATTTAATAGTGGGGAAATGAATGTGTACAAGATATATCGTTTATGATAAAATTTGTGTATTTTAAGTGATTTAATCCAAAATAATATATTCCGTTTTCCGTTCCGTTCCGTTTTCCGTTCCGTTTTCCGTTCCGCGTTTTAGCAACACCCGACTACAGTGCTAAAAAGCATTTATTTATTTCGAAATAATTGATCTGACTTTAACAGTCCAGTCCAATACGAAAAATCGTAATGTTACGAAATATAGTAATGTTAAAAGAAATCGTGATATTACAAAATATCGTGATATAATTCTTATATTACTTTTTTTCGTAATATAGTTAAATTACGGAAACTCGTAATATAGCAAGTTAAGAGAGACTATATTACGAGTTTTCGTAATGCAAGACAAAATAAAGCATTGAAAGAAACTGAATGATGTTTATGGAAGTATGACGTCAGAAATACATTATGCCCCAATGGTACTAGTATCACGTGGTCATTTTGGTCAGTGACGTCTATCGAAAAGTATGGAAATGCAAGAAGAAAGTAACAATGGTAATGGGTGAGTGAACATTTTGTTTTATTATTCTTAATATATAAGAATTTTCCCAAGGATAGGAACAATTTTCCTTAAAATTTCAATGTATCCTCAAGCTTGTTACAATGGTCTATAATCCCCGAATTCCCTATATTTTTCCCGAAGTCTACCCTGAAAATCAGACCCTCATCTCAAACAACGAGATATTACGAGAGATAACTTGTAAGACTCTCACTTGGCTCTGAATCTGCTTGCACTTGGATCAAATGCACCAAAACAAAGAAAATGCACTAACCATACATATCCACGATATCATAATGATGAAACCAGAGACATATAATCTCTGATGAAACATAACAAAGAGATTGTATCAGAAAAAAGGGAAGTAACTCTTAGAAGAGTTAGAAATTGCTTATATTACGAATTTTAGTAATATTACGATTTTTCGTATTGGACTGGACTGTTTAAAGGTACATTTTCGGTACATTTCTAAAAGTGGGGGGGGGACCAACCAGGCTTTCAATTAACATTTCCTATCGTGTAAGTAAGGTTGGCAAAAAAAGGGGGGGGGGCCAGGCCCCCCCTGGCCCCCCCGGATACTACGCCCCTGCACATCCTTTCACTTTTACAATTTTTAACTCTATTCTTAATCCTTAGGGAAAGTGGCAATCTTGTTGTGTATTAATGAGAAACATTAAAACTTAGACCCAGAAAAATAATTTAAATTTACCTGGTATACAGAGTAGAAATGTTAGAAAGCAAAACTCCTTTACAAGTATCGTCCTTCCGTCGTGTACAGAGTTTAGCAAATCGAGCACACTCGTGTGATGTACACAGTTTTTGTAAACAGAGCGAAAGCTCTGTTATTGTTTAGTGTTTTGGTTCACCGGGTGCGTTCATTAGCCAAGGTCTGCTCACCAGGTCTGCTCAACTACATGGACTGACATTATATTGTGTGTTTGTTTTGCTTTCGAACATGTCTACACTGAATTTTCTGGATTATAGTATTAATTTTTTTCATTAATACACAACAAGACTGTTACTTTTCCTAAGGATTCAGAATAAAGTTAGAATTTGTGAAAGTGCAAGGATGTGTCAATCAAACCCGCCAAAAAATTAAAAATTTTAATAAGTTTTAAATGAATTAAGATTTTTAATTAATTTTTATGTGAAATGCTATTAAATTATATAAGTCGTAATATTATAGAAAAAATAGTAAAAAACATTAACTTCAAATCTGTGTCCAAGTGCCTTTAAAGAAAGCACTGCATCCTCCACAATTTTTGCATATATAGGATGGGGAATGAGTTCTTATTCTAGTTGATAAATTCGTGCTTTATTTGTACAGTGCAATGTACTTTATCTCAGCGAGATGTCATAGCTGGAACAAAGAATTTTGGTCTGGTGTTGAGGGACATCAGACCAAAATTTTTCGTTCCTGCGACGTTTCGCTTCTGCATCATGCATGAGATGAAATGCAGCAGTTGGTGTCATGTGCAAAGTAGAGTCTCTCTACCCAGATAATATGTTGACAGTCCGACCGTTATGATTTAGATGAGGCTCGTCAAACTGCACGTGACATTTGGTGCGTCTAGACTCTGACATCACATGATGTCGTACGTAAGTTACATTTCCAAAAAGAACCCTGAACAGTGTTGAAAGTAAATGAAGAACGTTTTGTTTGCTATTTATCAAGTCAGTATTTGTCCATTATCCATTATAAATCAGAGCATGTTTACTTTTAGTTGAACATTTGCTGCTATTCTCGCTAGAACGTAGCTTCAACGTAGCTTAAACAAGTGTTGCATTGTGGGTCCAAATTACTGCGTCAAAAAATTCTATCGAATGAATGTGCAGTAGTCCGAATTTTCTCTTCACACAGGCGTTCATTCCCAAATTTAAAAAAAAATACATGTAGATACATGAGAGTTCAATAACCATCTTCATGTAAGGATATATATTCTAAATTTGTAAACAAATTTAGTCTTTATACTTCAGTCTTCCTGGTATTTTGCATTGCAGAAAATTTAAAGGTCCGAACAGATAAGAAATACCGGTATTAAATGTCTCTTTTAAAAAACAAATTGAGAACTTGGTCAATTATGAAAACCATGATTCACTGCATTTCAGGTTTAAACTGAGAAATATTATGTCTAATGCAAATTGCACCAATCATATGGTAGATTTATAATTAAACTACAGAATAATTAAATGTCAGTGTTACTATAAATACAATGCTGAAATATAAAAAAAAAATAGTGAAACACATACATGTATGTATAGATGTATATACACTATACAGGAAATTTTAATTATGTTACATGTAGAGATATATGTATAAATATTAATTCATATTACATGTACCTTTATTACCTAAAAAAATCTTTTTGTTATAATTAATAAATGCATGTACCTCAAATTCAACTCTAGGTTGATTATATGTAATGGAGAGGAAACTTGTACATTCCAACATTTAGTAGCTAGCTTTGATAATGCTGATCAAGTGTTTAAAATTATTCAATTTCACATTTATACAAAAAACATTGAAAAATGAGGAAACATCTTGATTAGATTTAAGATTTCATAATCTTATAATATTGTGAATTGTATGAAAGCAAAATCCTGTTGTGTTGCTACTGATAGTGAAAAAACATCATAATGACATGATAAAAACAGGTTACTATAGGTGCATGATGAAATATAATATGTCAATAAATTTTTCTGAGGTGCCTTTTTTTTCTTTTCCATATTTACTTGGATTGTTACAATAGTACGGTAAGTAAGTTTGAATAATCTGTTGAAAACGTAAAAATTGTGTTAATTATAAACTTAAAATTAAATTCATTGTTTTTCAAATTATTTTTAATATTAACAATTGAAACATGTGAAAAATTCATAATATTAATATTCAATTTAAAATGAATTTCTATGTACAAAAAAGTTTTGAAAAAATAAAACTATACTATAGACATGATGGAGAAAGAAATACTCTGGTATTTTCTTGTAAAGTGTGAATTCAAAGTGTAATTGACAAAAGCCCATATTAATAATTTTAGAACCAATGGACATATCTACAACATGTACAATATACTTAATTTTAAAATACTGGAGATACTAATCATTTGTTTTATTTACTTGCAGCATTTTTGGGGACCAGGTATGTGAATGCAGATTTACTTATCTTAATCAAAGAAACATAAATATATTGTTTTCTGAATTGACAGGCACAAAATATATTACTTCATCTTCACAGATATTTTTCATTTGCAACATTTGTTTATGATTATCCCACCCCAACCTGCAAGAAAGTTGGAATGATGGGGATGTAGTAACATAGTTGGGTGGGTAGGGGAGTGAGTGTGTGCATAACAAAAATCAGACCAAAATATAATTTTCATCAGGATTGATATTCTCTTCTGGGAGGAAAAATACACTTTGTTGTGCTCTTGTTTATGTTAATCATTTTTATCAATATGTTTTAATATGTTCAATTAATGTGATGTTTACTTCTGTTACCAGTAATTAATGATGCTGTTGCTTTTCAGTTGCAAATTGGGCCATTCCTTTGGCAGCTATAGGGGATTTCCAGAAAGACCCAGAACTGATCAGTCCATACATGACCCCAGGTATAAAAATAGAAAATATAGCATGTGTGATGTTCACAATTCATGTGATCCTCAAAATTGATCATTATGCACAACATTGATTGAAGTTTCACATATTATTCCTAGCTTTATGAACTGTACATGTTTGAAGGAATGAGATCAGGCAAGCATTATCATTATTTTTTTTTTTTTGCACTCTTAACTTTGCTTTATCTTTCTTGTATCTAGGAAGCTAATTATACCCTGATACTTGAGTATCAGTAGTTATGTGCAGAAAGCAAAATATCAATTATGTTAATACATGTAACACTTTATTTATTTTGAAAAGTCTGACAAAATTTGCAATGCCTATTATGTTTTATGAAAGCCGTAAAATTGGTATGTGTAAACAATTCTTATAATACATAATTAATTTTGCTTCATTAATTCACTTATTTATAAGCCAGACCGGGAGATGAAATAAACCTTTTCTAGACATTGGTACAATGTACTATCTTGCAAATTTGTACTTTGCAGTCAGTTTGTTTCTTTTCACAATCATTGCTTACACCTTTTGACTAGCCTTCAGTGCATGTTTAATAAACATCAGTGAACTAATGACTGATGAGAATAGAGGATTAATTCCTTGTATTTCTGATTTCAGCCCTCATTGGCTACTCCTCGGCCTTTGCCAGGTTTGCGTGGATGGTCAAACCTCGTAATCTGCTGCTCCTGGCCTGTCACATGACCAACATTAGTGCTCAGTGCGTCCAAGCCTGTAGATACGTCAACTACTTGTAAGTTAATTTGTAGAGAACCAACATATTCTATGGATGGTCTCAAGATAATAAGTACAACAGTCAGGGGCATCATGGAATCAAGTTATTTTCCATAATAACTTATTTAAGTTACCTCACTTATATATGACTATACAAAGAAGTAACTCATTTGAGTTAATTGAATGCCTATCAATTTTGCTAAAAAAACATCAATATGTTGAGTTTTCTGCTGATTAAAGATGATGCAAGGCTGAGAAAGTTGTAAATATATGTAATTCTTTCAATAAACTCAACAGACTTAATTTCTCATGAGCAGATTGGATGATATTAAATAAATATCATGATTTTTTGAAAGGAAAAATCATTTGGTTTTAGGAACATTTCAGGGGTCAATTACACATCTTCCGCCAATTTTGCCAACACTGCGACTAATTTTCTTATAATCTTTGGACATTACTGTACAATCTTTAAGTCTTATATTTTTTGTGCAAAGCTGTATATTTTTGTGCAAGAGTCCTAAAGCGAGGTGGGTTAAGGATGAAATAACAGAAATAAGTTATGATTTGTGGAATTTTAGTGTCCTAGATTGTAAAGATAGATTACTTTTCCTGTCATAAACCATCCTACCAGAACTTGATAAACCCAAGCACAGCATGAATAAAGCTATTCTGATGCCAGTAGGTTTACACTAATGAGTAGTAAAGTATCAACTAGAAAAGAAATTCGTTGCGAGCAACAAGAGGTCTTCCGTCCGATTCCGGAAGGAAAACGACAAATCTAGCTAAAAAAGATTTGCACACAAGGGGGATTGAACCCAAGTAGAATGAATTTCCAACGCATTAAAGCTTACTCTATTTTGACCTCTACTCTTAACCTGCTTGTATATATTTACGAAACAGTGCTTATGTCTTAATATTATGAAAGGCAAGTCACTTTTCAAAATTCAGCGACAAACACAACGAGTTAATCTTCGCGACTTTTCTTTGGAATGCTCTATCAAATAGGTGTGTTAGCTTCAATGAAGTTATAAAAAGAACGTTCTTATAGCCTATTTGAGGTTTAGAAAGTATATTTAACACATTTTAACAAATTCCATATTATATATATGCACTTAACACTAAAAGGGTGAAACGGTTATGAATTTTTAATTTTATTTCAATTTCCTTTGATCCCCAAAGTGAACTTTTCCAACTAGTTAATCGACAAAGGTTGAAATGTTTCGCCGAAAAACATGGCTCGCCCTACGACAGTCAAGGAATCAGATATCATTCTTGCTCAATAACCTGAATCAGGTCTCTGAGAAAAGAATGCTAAAATAAACTCCATTAAGCAATCTTTAAAAAACAACTTCTTATTTTTGTCTCATTTATTAGTTGCATTAAAGATAAAAGATGTCGAAATTCATTTGCACAGTAAGTCTTTTCTTTTTCTACTTTGAAAATCAGCCGAAACCAATTATAGAAGACGTTAGTTTGACACTGAACTACAACGTAACTACGACGTGACAATCCAAGTATTCCTTTACATTTCATTTATCCTTATTTTACTTTCGTTCAAGCAAACGCTCGGCTGCCTCCGAAAACCCCTATTGCGAAATGTCGACATTGACTGAGACAGCCACCATTTTGGATCCGCTTCAGATTTTTAAATGCTTATATCTAGAGTTTAGATTTATCAACATTCAAACAAATTGTACTATTAGCATTATAAGGAGAGTTTCTATCAACATACCAAAAATAAATGAAAAAGATTGAAAAATAAAAAAGTTAGAAAATACGATTTTTTTCAATTTGCATCTCGTAACGACAGGAAGTATTGACGACGCACGAAAAGGCGATTCTGCAAACCACAAAGTCATGATCTATTATCTCCAATAAGTCTCCAGTTCATATTCTCTGCCATTTTTTATAAAAGTGCGCGACAAAATCGCATTTTAAAATCAGGAAATCGTCCATAACTTGGCACCGGAAGCGAATGTTCCAAAAACAACTACTGACTGCACAACTTCATGTAAAGACGCATATTTTGTGAAAGTTTCGTTAAAAACCGCTGAATAGTTTTCGAGAAATCGTGTGCACAAAATTTTGTCAAAAAAAGAATAATAATAATAATAATAACTAGATGCGATCTCGTTGCGAGCAACGAGTAGGTCTTCCGTCCGAATTTTCGATAAGATGAGATATGACTTTGACTATGATCTTTGATAAAACATCATGGAATCATGCCTTTTCTCTTTTGATTAAATCCTTTTGATTTAGATAATATCATCAATGCGTACTTAATTTGCACATTAATTCTTTTCTTTTTTCTACTTTGAGAAACAACCAAAACCAATTAAAGAAGACTTGTAAGGAGACCTTGGATTATGAATGTAGTTTGACACAGAATTGCAACGAACCTACGACATGACAATCCAAGTATCCCTACACATTTCATTGCTCCTTATGATACTTTCGTTCAAGCAAACGCTCGGCTGCCTCTGTTAACCGCTATTGCGAAATGTCAGAATTGACAGAGACCACCGCCATTTTGTTCCCGCTTCAGATTTTTGAATGTTAATATCTCGAGTTTGAATTTATAAATTTACAAACGAATTATATATTCAGCCTAATAAGAAATGTTTCTATCAACTATACTAATATAATTTGAAAATATTGAAAAACAAAAAAGTTTAAGACGAGAGACTTTTGCCCCTCTATGCCCCTAATTTGAAGGACTAACCCCGTTTACTTGATATCAAATGAAAGGTCTTACTATATTGCACATTTTTTATTATATATGTCTTAACAAAATATTAACAGGTAAAAAGATATAAAAGAAAACGTGTCAATTTTTGCGAGATGAGTATGAGGCTATTTTTCAAGCCCAGGCGAGCGTCAATGTCTTTTTACCTGGAAAGCTCTATATGCAAAATGTCACATCTACTATCCTTCCTCTACCTTCACTGAAAATCTCAAGTCGATATCTTAAGTCGTTTAGGAGGAGATCTCAGGACAAGCTGACCCTCTAAAAATCAGTAAATCGTCCATATCTCACGACCGGAAGTGACGACAAAATACTTAGGAAAAATTTCCGACAAGGTTCAGATAAATATCTATCAGATCTGAAAATTTGGTGAGAATCGGTCCAGCCGTTTTTGAGAAATCGCGTGCACAAAATCGGTAAGAAAAATAATAATAACTAGATGCGTTCTTGTTGCTGGTGCAACAAGCAGGTCTTCCGACCGATTTTCGTTAGAATTCTATGCTGCGTCATCCCATAAAATTTCAGAATGTATTTTTTTCATTTACGTTCATTTACAGCAGCCTCTTAACATATCTCATAATTATTACAGATATTCCTCAAAATATCTCAAAAATAGCTTTTAAAAATCGGCAAAATATTCCATACATGTTAAAAAAGAGAGAAAAGTTATTTGCAACTGAAAAAAGACAGAAACAAAGAAAAAAAATTTAAACGCCCACAACGGGATTCGAACCCCCGACAGTGGGACAAAGCTTGGTTTGGTCATATCTTTTCAACAGATGCACGCATCAAAATACTAAATACATATTTAGAATTCTCATAATACACACTATAATCCCTGTAAATACTAAAGAAAAATATTGAAAAACAAAAAAGTTGAGAAATGTGACTTTTTGAATTCACTTCCGTGTGCGACCGGAAGTGCCGACGACGAAAAATAAAGGTCGTTGCCCATAATGGAGTTCGACGTTCTATCACCTCAGTGAGTTTCACTTTCATATCTTTAGCCGTTCTTGATAAAAATGCTGGACAAAATGCCCTTTAAAAAATACAAAAATCCCCCAAAATCGCGAACGGAAGTGAATTTCGAAAAAATGAAAAAGACATCTGGAGATATTCTCATGATGCATCTTCCCTGAGAAAATCTTTAAAATCTGTCCACGCATAGCTGAGATATCGGCTGTACTATGAAAAAAGAATAATAATAATAATAATAATAATAAAAAACAGAAGGAAAACAATAAGGTCTTTCGAAGGAAGTCGGAAGACCTTAACTAGATGTGAAACTCGTTGCAAGCAACGAGAGGTCTTCCGTCCCTTTCCGGAAAGAAAACTAAAAATCGAGCTGAAAAAGTAAAAAAAGATTTGCCCACAAGAGGGATTGAACACATTAGTCACCAGCATGAAATTCCAACACACTAAATATTACGCTATCGGGACCTCTACTCTAAATCTACTTGTATATATCAACAAAACAGTGCTTCTCTCTTAAAAAGAAAGGCGGGTCACTATTCAAAATATAGCGCCAAACGCCACGAGTTAAAAAAAAAGAACGTTCTTATAGCGTAACATTCGAGGTTTAGAAAGTATATTTAACACATTTTACAAATTCCATATTGTTTTATATATGCATGTAACACTAAAGCGGTGAAACGGTTACGAATTTTAAAGTTTTTTCAATTTCCTGTTTATCCCCAAAGTGAACTATCCTGATTAGTTAATCAAAATAGGTTGAAACGTTTCGCCGAAAAATCTGGCTCGCCCTACGACGGTCAAGGAATCAGATATCATTTATGCTCAATAACTTGAATCAGGTCTTTGAGACAAGAAAGCTTGAATAAACTCCATGAAGCGATCTTTTAAAAAAAATCGTTTTCTTATTTTTGTCTTATTCATTAGTTTAATGTGACACAAGTGTGCATAGGAAAACAGTGGTTAAGATTTATACTTACAATATTCATTGATATTCTTTTTTGAGACAGTATAACTTATAAGTACGATTTAAGATCTGTTTTTCCGTGGTGTACAAAAGATATTAGGTATCGAATTTCATCTGCATATTTAGTCTTTTCCTTTTTTTATTTTGAAAACCAGCCAAAACCAATTATAGAAGACGTTAGCTTGACACAGAACTGCAACGTAACTACGACGTGACAATCCAAGTATTCCTTTACATTTCATTTATCCTTTTGTTACTTTCATTCAAGCAAACGCTCGGCTGCCTCCGAAAACCCCTATTGCGAAATGTCGACGTTGACTGAGACAGCCGCCAT